TATTTAAATTTTTTTAATGACACTACTGGACTTTTATATCAGTTTCTCCTTTTATCCTTACAGTAAAACATCTTTGCTCTGAAGTGTGATTGAAGTCAGTCAGGCCACTTTCACCTGTGTGACTTGTAGAGTTGTATGACTAAGTAGAAAAAAACACACATACAAAAACAATCATTTATTTGAAACAAAAATCAAATTTGAGAATAGAAGTAGAACACCCACCTCTCAAATAGTGTTGAAGCGTTACAAGTGTCAGGCCTGACAAGTCTGCCATACTTTTTAGTTAGCATGCTCATTAGAAAAATTATTGGGAAGTTCTGAAAAATAGAAGAATAACATTGCCTGCAATTCTTCCACTCTTAAGAGAGAATCACTGCGTACTAATATTTGGCTGCAGCTCCTTCCAGTTTTTCCAGTTTCTTTTCTTTACATAGTTGACATCATAGTATGTGAACAACTTCGTAGGCCGCTTTTTTTTTTTTTTTTTACCCTTAACATTTAACAGGAGATAAATAAGGCTTTTAAATTTTTATTTTGAGGTTTGACAGTTATTTGCTTAACAAAACAGAAAGTGGAATATTCTTGGCATGTCTTTGAAGAAATCGTCACCCTAGTGACTCAGTCTACATGACTACATTTTATATAACTTCAGTTCTTAAGAATAGCACCAGATAGGCTCCTGTCCCCAGACAGCAGCGTTGCTCCCGTGCAGTGTAATTTGGCTGCATTCCAGTTTTTCCAGTTTCTTTTCTTTACATAGTTGACATCATAGTATGTGAACAACTTCGTAGGCCGCTTTTTTTTTTTTTTTTACCCTTAACATTTAACAGGAGATAAATAAGGCTTTTAAATTTTTATTTTGAGGTTTGACAGTTATTTGCTTAACAAAACAGAAAGTGGAATATTCTTGGCATGTCTTTGAAGAAATCGTCACCCTAGTGACTCAGTCTACATGACTACATTTTATATAACTTCAGTTCTTAAGAATAGCACCAGATAGGCTCCTGTCCCCAGACAGCAGCGTTGCTCCCGTGCAGTGTAATGGCAGTAACCCCCACCGCCCCCGGCAGTGAACTGCGGCCTGGCAGTAGTGAGACTGAACCAAAGGCAGACACGAGGAAGGGCCCCGGGCCTTTCTAGTGGTTGTCCATGCCTTGTGTCCTCTCGGACAGTCAGCTCCAATTTATTTTAAGCCCTTGTCCTTTTTATAATTTGCCAGGCAGACTGTGCATGTGCTGGCTGGTGGTGGGAGAGAAAGGGGGAGAAAAAAGCCTCCCCTAATGGGGCACGGTCACAACGCAATTCCTTCTCCATTTCTCCATCCTGGTGAGATCAGAAGCGTGCGTGCACATGCCCTCAGCATGTTTTCTTTGCCTTTTTTTTTTTTTTTTTTTTTTTGAAGGTGTTTTCTTCAGGGCTCCCGTACAACAGAGACAGAAAGCTAGAAATCACCCCCAAGAGTGATGGTCACGCCACAATCCCTTCTTCTCTCCTCTCAGGATTTTGGGCACACAAGTACACATGCCTGGCGTGATTTTCAATCCGCTAGGCCCAGGACTCAGATCGCAGTCGACCACGTGGGAGTCCAGCATCTTAACCAGTATGCCACCTGCTAGCCCCTCTCAGCATGCTTTTCAAACAGCTGGTCAGGATTTGAACTGCTGAGTTTTCCATGTGGGATTTAGCTCCCATAACTAGTAGGTCACAGGGCTAGCCCAACTCCTATCTTTTTAAGGTCATAATTTCTTCTGAATCTTATTTCATATTAAAGAAATAACCCCAGAGAGGCTAGCAGGTGGCATTGTGGTTAAGGCACTTGGCTTTCACATGGTAGACCATGGCTCAAGTCCTAAACCCGGTGGCTTGAAAATCACACCGGGGTGTGTGTGCGTGCCCACAATCCCTAGAGAAGAGACTGTAGCATGGCCATCTTCCTAGGGGATGATTTCTCACTTTCCCTCTCACTGTCTCTCTCTGTCTCTCTCTATAAGCACACACTATGGCCAGAAAACAAACAAACAAACAAAACAATAAGAGAGCCCTGGGTAAGGAACTACTGGACTTGAGCTTTTAGGCCACATGCAAATTTAAGGAAATGAAAGATCAGACACAGACAAGTTTGTGATCATTTCATATGGAGGAAGCCAAAATGGGAAAATTTTTTGGATCTTTATTACCAAATATATAATACCCTCCCCCCAACCCGGAGATTAAGAGTTGCATGCTTTTAGACTCTGAATTAGGGGGATTTAGCCATCACCTTTGAAAATGAAAGCATCCAGTTCAACCAATATATTTTTTTCTGTTTTTGGAGAGGTTTTTGCTATAGGGCGCGTGCATTCGTTCGCCAGATAGACAGAGACAGAGAGACAGAAAGTGAGAAATCATTCCACAGCGGGGGTGGCCACGCCACAATCCCTTCTCCTCCATTCTCCCCTCTGGATCTTGGGCACGCATGCACACGTGCCCGGCATGAGTTTAAGCCACCGGGTCCGGGACTTGAACCGCGGTCGACTACGTGGGAGTCCAGCGACATAGCCATTACGCTAACAGCTGGTCCCAACCAGTATTTTTTTTAATCAATTAGGTTTTATAGGAAAACAGAAATGAATTATAAATGAGCTTTCTCTTTCTAGGTGTTTTCACTCTAGAGGGAGTAAGATGTATTTATCAGTTGTGATAGTATAGGCAAATATTAACGAAGCAAGGAGGAAGAAAGTCGTTCTGGCAGGAAACGGAATTCAGCACGAAGGAATAAAGATGACAGAAACACGGGTCGGATTTTATCTTGTGGGCAACTGAGTCGGCCTGGCAGTTGAGAGAGCCTGCATAATTATGTATCAGCAAGACATGCAGGGCACGTCCAAGAGATTTTGATCAGCCTCCTTTCAAGTTTATTATTTCTTTTTTTAAATAGCTTTGAAGGAAGATGCAAATAAATATCCAGAAGAAAATAAAAACTGTCCGGAATTCTGTTACCTGGAGAAAAGTTCTGTGAACATTATGGTGTGGTTTTTTTCCATTAATCTTCCTATGCCTATGGTTGGATTAGAATAGAACAGATTTGCATCGCTGGTTACGCTCTGCCTGGCTCCTAGAGAGGTGTTGCTGACATTTTTAACATTGCACTCTTATGTCTAGCCGGTGCACATTTTCATAAACAAAACACTGACAAATGCTTGTATTCCTTTGATAAGTTCAAGACAGCAAACCTTCATTGAGCCTGTTGAAATCAGGCCATGTACTTGTAGTTGAATTGAATTCAAGGTAGAATCCAACTGAAGGATATGTTGCTTCTAGAGGGAGATCATCCCAAGTTCACGTCCTCTTCATGAGGCAGCAAATAGCTGGGTAGATCTGTGTTCACTTCTCTTAATATATGGATCCTTTTAGACTTAAAATGCTACCTTTTTTTTTTTTTTGCCCAAAAATGTACATTTTTCCAGTCTCAAATTTAATGATTATTTTAAAATTCAAATGATGTAAATAAGAGTAAAGTAAAACTTGACTAAAATTACAACCCTGTAAATATATTATGGCAGATGTTTTCCTAGCTTTTTCTTTTTCCCTTTGTAAGCTGGTATCCTATTCCAAAAAGCGTGGTTGTCTCTCTGTGTCAGCAAATATCAGTCAGTACTTATATCTGATATAAATTGCCTGATTCTGTCTAGCTGGTTGCTCTCCTGCAAGTAATTATGCTAGAGGTGGTATGGTCGTCTACGATGCTCTCTAGCTGGTTGCTCTCCTGCCAGTAATTATGCTAGAGGTGGTATGATCGTCTAATGGAGGGGGCAAGTTTTCTTGAAATATAACAGGAAGTACACAGATCATAAGTTTACAGCGTAGTGAACTTTTAAGAAGTAAACACATTTGAAAATCTGACAACCAAATCAAGACACAGAGTATTACCAGCACCCCAGGAAGTTACCTACAGGCTCCCCTGGAGTCAGGCCCTCTTACAGTCACCACTTCCCCAAGGGCCACCGCTGTGTTACTGTTTTTCATCATTACTAATTTATTAGGTAAATTATACCTTGTTTTTGTTTCTGGTTCCTTTTCTTAATTTACTACTTGGATTATTTATAAAATTCATTATAGATCTCACCTTTTATTATCTCCACAAGGGAAATAAATTGCATCCTTTTTTTTTTTTTTTTTTTAAGGTTTTTGCTATAGGGCATGTGTGTTTGCTGGAGAGAGACAGTGAGAGAGAGAAAGTGAGAAATCACTTCCCAAAGGAGATGGCCATGCTATAGTCCCTCCTCCTCCATTTTCTTCTCAGGATTTTGAACATGTATGCACCTGCACCCAGCATGATTTTCAAGCTACCAGGTGCAGAGTTTGAACCACGGTTGTCCATGTGGGAGTCCAGTGCCTTAACTACCACACCACCCACTAGCCCAAATGGCATCTGTTACAGAATGTGTAGTGGCTTGCCATAATTGAAAATAAGCCAAGATTCTACAGTATGGCCTTTTGGGTATATTACTTTCTCAAAAAATATTTGAGTTTCTTTGGGACAGGAACCGTGATTTTCTTTTTTTATTTTTAAGCATTAACTTTGAAATGGCAAATATTCTGGAAAGTACCTTGTGCAAGTGGAAAGTATATTGTTTATGAACGTGAGTATAGATATGTGGCAAGAAGCTGACCTCTGCTGGAAGCTTCTGGTATAATCGAGGAAGGAGTTGTAGCTAGTCCTCCCTGGTGGCTGCTAGCCTCTCCTTCAGTTCAAACCTGCCTGCCTCTAGCTTTTTCTTGCAACTTCCCTTTTCTTATTTTCTTACATTGTTTTTCTGCTGTGATTGCAAATTTTGCTTAACAACGTGTGAGGTTTTTCTGTGTGACAAGGCCTTTATAAACATTCTAGCATTAACCGTTAAGATGGAATGTGCAAAAGCAACTTGCCAGGTTGTATCTCATATGTAAGTAATGAGATTCAGTCCCTGGAGCTTAGCATCCAAAGGGAGAGAGTAACTGGCTGCTCTGTTTCTGTCCAGGAATCGACAAGGAGAACGTTGAACTCTCCCCCACCACTGGACACTGTAACAGTGGACGAACTCGCCATGGATCCGCAAGCCAAGTGCAGAAGCAAAGAAGCACTGGCAGTTTCAAACGTAATAGCATTAAGAAGATCGTGTGAAGCTTTCTTTCTTTCCTTTTTCAAACCAACTTAATGTGGGCTCTTCACTAGTGACCCTTCCCCAGCTTTGCTCCTCCCCACATGTGATGCTGCACTTCATTGTTTCTAATGACCCCGTCCAGTCTGCCATGTTGCCAGATGATCAACTCTTGGAAGCATTGCATAATTTTAATGCTGCTTTTTCTTTCATTTTTTTCCTCCTACTTTTGGCATGTATCTGGTATAAGGAAGTGTTCCAAACAGCTGCAAAAAAAAGTGGGAAGTCAGGAAACTTGAACCGAGAACATCCCAATTGTGAGAGAAGATGAGTTCTTGAAAGCCGCTACTACTGGCCAGCTGCGAAAGCCATTTGCACAGAGCTCTGCCTTCTATGTTTCCCCCTTCGTCGTCATACCAAGTAAAGTGTTCGTCTTATTTACACACTTCCCACGATAGAAGTTTTCAGGAGAAATAACCCAGTATGTTTAATCTGACTTTTAGCTGTGGACTTTTTTTTACGTTACAAAGCTGAAGGAACCATAGAAGTCAAGCCTCAGTGACTTCACACCATAAAGCCACAGGCAAGGTACTCTGGGGAGTGGGAGGACTTAAGTTCTGTAGTGGATTCTTAAGAAATACTAACACTTGAGTATTAGCAATAATTACAGGGAAATAGCGTGACCACGTATATCTTAACATCACTGAATTAAAGCTATGGGTTCTGAGGCCTTATCCAAACTCAGTCATCCAAACTAGTTTATTTTTTTCTCCAGTAAATTATCTTTACATCTTTAAATATGCCGAAGGTTAGTCTTTTGTTTTCGTTTTTGTTATTTTATAAGCCAAAACTATACTAAGTATAGTAATTATACTTTTTTCCCCTCCTCCTCTTCTTTCAAATAATTCAGAGCAGGGTAATCAGTGAACGAAGTGTGTTCCCAGAAGGTGATTTCTGTAGATGATTACATTCGCTCCATAGCAGAATGAAATGGTACGTGACTTCTAGAGTAGGTGATACTTTGATTTTGTTAAATAATTTTCCAAGAAACATAGAGTATGGTGTATATTATCATAAATTTCTTTGATAAAATGTATTTTAAATGTATTTCGATCTTCTCCCTCCCCTCCAAAAAAAATCAGGAATCTCTTTAGCAAAACATTTGGTTTCTATATGATAGAGTTACATCTAATCACTGTGAAAAGACTGGTCAGCCTGCATTAGTCTGATGATGGGGACCTTTGCGTTGCTGCTATCGGGAACGGTATGGATTACCATGGCGTTGGCATTTCCATCGTGGTGCAGGTCCAGTTTCGTTGTGGTACCTGCAGTATGCAAAATAATTTGACTTCAGTGAGCATATTCGTGTCTGGATATTCCAATTTAGAGCTAAACCATATTTATTACAAAAAGATACTATCCCTTTACTCCCAGGTTCCCTTTTATATATGTTAAGGTATAATGGCTTTGGGAGGGGAAAAAAGAAACCTAGGAAACAGGGGAGTTTCCTGTAGTGCTGTTTCATTAGTGGATTTCAGTAAATTAAATTCCACAGCTAACTCAATAAATAATGGTACATTTAAGTGTTCTGATTTTTAATAATATAACACATTTCACATTTACTCACACAGTAACAATGTAATATGTTAATGTAAATAAAATTGCTTTTGATATTCAGAAATAACAAGAATTTAATTTTTTTTAAAATTTGTTTACAGTCCTGGGAAAAGTTAAGAACCATTTGCCAAAATAAAAGGAGAAATAAAAAAAAGACTTTAGTATTAATAGTGATTTTAATGTGGAAAATATTGAAGACAGGTGCATTTAACTGAACTTTCATTTGTATCTATTGTAGAAGCTTCAGTAGAATCAAATGTTTATAATAACAGAGCAACTAAGACTGCAAAAAAGCTAAGATTAGAACCGAGTTTAGAAGTAGATCAGTAACGTATTGCCAAGGATGCCAGGCCGCTGCACGCTCTTGGCTCTCCCATAACCCGGTGCTTCTGGGGTAGGTGTCACAGCTGCTGGGCTCCTGGGACAGCAGGCAACTGTGAGCCTTGAATAGCTTTGGTTCCACGTTTTTCCTCTGTTGGTCTGGTACATATGACGGTGGGTGATGCGCTCTTTCACTTTTCCCATCGAAGCAGAGAAACTTCCAAAGGTCTACTGTCGAAAATGCTCATCTTTCTTACCATGAACAAGTTTACCAAAGTATAATATTTAAGATTCCCCTGTAGTGTAATGAAAGGAATTAATTCCCTTGAAGTACCTCATGAGATGATGAGCATTGTACAAATTAAAATTGAGCCTTCTTTGGATTATAAAAATAATTTTGACCAGTACATCCTGGAAATTTGAAAACTTACTAAGGCTTAAATTTAATGTTGTTTGAAAAATGACTTTCGAGGAAAATCTAACTTTCCAAGCGACCAAAACAAACATGAGACAAATCTCTCACCAGTGTTTCCCCTGAGAAACAAAACACTTTTTAAAGTCCTCACACCGTGATCTACAGAAGAAATCCTGAAGTTCACACCAAGTTACCCATTTTGCATAATTTGATGTAAGTTCTGTAAAGAACCTTACCAGTCATTTGCTTTGGGTTTGTAGATTGTTTCTTCCTAACTTTTTAAAGAGGAAAACAGCAACTCAGTCATGTTTTTGTCATGCATAATCCACCTGTTTTGCCAGTGCTCCCATCCTAGGGCCTGAACTTACTGTCATCCCTAAGACACAGTCAACTAGCTGTGGGGGAACGTGGCCTTTCCCCCATCACCACCTGTCCATTACTGAGCCAGGCCTGAGGACCCCACGGTGAGCACCCCAGGGACAGATGTCCTGGCAGGGGAGACAGTGCCAGCCAGCAACCCTCCTGGGTAGGTAGGTTGAAGGGATCTCCATTTCCTTTTGTTTTTGGGGGGGTTTGTTTCTACGTTTCCCCCCAGGCATAATGAGGCATGTCTTCTCCAATGTTATGCAATGGACTTATACAATGATTCACTCTTAGTGTCAGCCACACGATTTTTTTTAATGCAGTATATTCACCTGTAAATAGTTTGTGTAAAATTTGACAGAAAAGTATATTTACTACACTGTAAATACATGTGATGATATATTGTATTATTTTGCTTTTTTGTAAAGCAGTTAGTTGCTGTACATGGATAACACACACAACTTTGATTACTCTTGTGTTAGCATTGTTAACTTCTTCCTGCGACTGCATTACATCGCTTAAAGGAAATGCCGTGTATTGTAAACTTACCTTGGAGAGGATACCTTACTCTCCTTTCCATCCGGGCCTGAACTTTGGCAGTCCCCTCGTCAGCAGCCTTGTTAACGTCCTAAGCAATCGAACGCCAGCAGGAGAAATGCTGCCCAGCAGACACAAGGACCATCGTAGGGGAAGTCGTAGAAACCCGTCTCAGATCATTGTCTCCGCCATTCCCTCTGTGTATGTACTCCCCACCCCACCCCCCTTTTTTTTAAGTAAAATGTAAATTCAATCTGCTCTAAGATGTGAGGAGTTATTTAATTTCTTCGCGTGCATCAAGCTCTGTTCTCTCCTTCTCCGGCTCCTGCCTGATCATCTGGAACATTAAGGCCATTTCCTGTCTTTTTAAAATGGGGTCTCTTTCTCCCTCCCTTCACTCTCATGGGAAGGATCTTTCTATATTCAGAGTATTGCTAAACTAAAATAATTTTGGTGAGATGATTTTTTAGGGCTTTTCAAACTCAGGATGACTATTTTCTCTGGAATAGATTTACTTTTTTTTTTTTTGAAAGGTGCCATAGGGCACCTGCACTCCCCAGAGAGAGATAGAGAGAGGAAAAGTGAGAAGTGACCCCCTAGGCATGGGTTGGCCATGCCACAATCCCTGATCCTCCATTCTCCTCTTGGGATTTTGGGCACTCACTCCTCTTGGCATTCATACACATGTGCCTGGTGTGATTTTGAAGCTGCCATGGTCAGCCATATGAGAATCCAGCACCTTAAACACCATGCTACCTGCTGGCCCCTAGACTAACTTCCTTTTAAGTGAGCAATTGATCAGACATGCCAGGAGGCCTCAATATCAATGAGAGGTCATGTACTGGGACCCCACGGTTCTCTCCAACTTTGCGACTCTCCCCTACAGAATCTGTGAGGCTGTAAGTGTGAACGGCGTAAACTGGGCTGTGCCGCTGCGTTTCACTGTCCTGTGTACCCCGCTATGTGGGCTGCCTCGCCTGTCCCAACCTAGACCCTGTAGGCAGCACAGTGCTGTCCTCAGGAGGGGAGCAATGCCTGGCACTGAACAGGCTAAAGAAGACCTCAAGACCCACACTCCCGTGTCTGAGGCGAGTGCTGGTCTGCAGCAGGGAAGGCAGGGCTTCCTCCCCTGGAGACCATGTTAGTTCTCTGGTTCTCAGCCCCTGGGGCAAAGGCAACTCTCCAGGTTTAAGGCCCTGAGACTGTAGGGGGAGTGGGACCGAACGATTAAAGCTGCTCGGGTGACTTCGCAGGGAGCCCAGGTTTAAAGCGCACTGGAATGGAGAACTGGAAACTCAGTACTGCAGGCAGCTTTTTCCCTGTGACCTTAGGCATCTTAGTCCAGACCAGGCTGGTCTTTTGGACAAAGTGACCCCTGGGCACACACCCGTCTATTCTTGGAGAACCAGGTCCTTGACATTTGGCCACGTTGGGATCAGCAGAAGCCATAATGGCTATGTCGCTGGACTCCCATGTAGTCGACTGTGGTTCGAATCCCGGACCTGAACATGTTGGGCGCGTGTGCATGTGTTCCCAAAATTCTGAGAGGAGAATGGAGTAAAAGGGATCACAACATGGCCATCCTCCTGGGGGGGTGATTTCTCGATTTCTGTCTCTGTCTCTGGCGAGTGCACACACCTATAGCAAAAATCTCTAAAAAATAAAAAATGAAAAAAAACCAAGACATTGGCCATGTCTCACCTCTTCAATCGGCCCCTGAGCCCATTGTTTGCCTGCACAGGGCTTCACTTTCTGGGATACCCTCAGGCATGAGTGTGTTCCCCCTCTGGGGGGGATGGCTGGGAAGAGGGCAGAGACCCCAGAAGCACAGTACATCTCAGTGTTTCTCTTTTTCCAGAAAGGAGCCTGCCTGCTGCCTCCACCATCGAGGCAGCCCCCCCAGTGGTGGCCCATCTCTGCGTTCACCCCAGCTCCCCTGATTTCCATCGGCAGAGCTTCTTAGCCTGCTTGTCGCACATTAGAACCTCAGAACTCCAACACAGTCACATCGAAATGCTCTCAAGGGCAAGTAATTGCCTCAGGTAGTCTGCTCAGCCTGTCTTCCTTAGCAAGTCAGTCTTGGACCAGCAGATGGCATGATGGCTATGTCACTGGACTCCCATGTAGTCGACCGTGGTTCGAGTCCCGGACCCAGCGGCTTAAACTCACGCCGGGCACATGTGCGTGCGTGCCCAAGATCCCAAGAGGAGAATGGAGGAGAAGGGATTGCAGCGTGGCCAGCCCGCTGGAGGATGATTTCTCGCTGTCTCTTTGTCTCTCTCTCTCTTTCTGGTGAACGTGCACGCCCTATATGACGCACAACGCCCCCCAAATATAAAAAAAAAAAAAAAAAAAAAAAAAAAAAAGGAAAGAAAGTCAGCCTTCATACTGAAGAGATCCACCTAAGCTCCTTTTGGCTGCCAGTCTGAAAGAAGCCTGTTTACCAAGTTCATTATGTTTCTCCAACGATTAGGATCAGTCTACAGCAATATAATAACTGTTGGTTTGAATCTCTCACTGTCTACTTTTAGAAGTGGTGACTGGTCATAAGTGGAAATTTCATAACGAAATATGGAATTATAATTTTTTAAAAGAATTACTTTATTTTTTAATTTGACCCACAGAGGGACAGTGAGAGAGAGAGAAAGTGAGAAAGCAAGCTGCCAGGTCTGAGACTTGAACCATGGTTGGCCATGTGGGAGTCCAGTGCCCTTGGCCACCATGCCACCTGCTGGCCCCTGGAATTGTAATTTTAATCAATAGGTTTGACTTTTAAAAAAAACAAAAACTAAAAATCCATTTATATTGCTTATGTACAAATGTACGTATATACACGTTGAACATTCCTATTCTGAAAATCCAAAATCTGAAACTTTTTGAACACAGACATGATGCAAGAGATGATTTCCTGTGGCAAGTCACAGTCCAAACATATTATATAAAATTCCCTTTGGGCTATGTGAATAAGGTATATATGAAAGATAGGAATTTGTGTTTAGACTCGGGTTCCATCCCTAAGATAACTCATCATATCTATGCAAATATTCCTCTGGCCACAAGCCTTTCAGATAAGGGATACTCAGCCTATACCTGTGTGTGCGTGTGTGTGACCTTTACACTTTCCAAAGCAACTTTATACAGTTTACCTAAACTGGACCAAATTGCCTTTTTTGTGTCGTCTCCAAAAGGTCTTACTGCAAATTTTGTCTAGGCCCTTTACTATGTTTTGCTGGCAGTCAAGCTAGTAGCGATAAAATTAAGCTTCCAGAGTCACAGGGTTCAGGAGCCCTCCTTCCCCCACCAGGGACCACTGCCGTGATATAAAATGGGGAAGTCACACAGGAATCTTCCTGCTCAGGAGCTCTGAGAGCATTGCCCAACTTAAAATGTTTTTAAGTAAGAGGATGTCAACGTGTATCACCTCAGCTGATCGTGCAATCTACTATTCAAAATACATTTCATTAACACATTTAGAAACAAGCAGAGGGACCAGCAGATGGCGTAATGGCTATGTTGGATTCCCACGTAGTCAACTGCAGTTCGAGTCCCAAACCCAGTGGTTTAAACTCACGCCGGGCGCATGTGCGTTCATGCCCAAGATCCCAAGAGAATGAAGGAGATGGGATTGCAGTGTGGCCATCCCCCATGGGGGGTGATTTCTCGCTTTCTGTATCTGTCTGTCTCTCTGGTGAGTGCACACGCCCTATAGCAAAACCTCTCCCCCCAAAAAAGAAGCAGAACCTTTTTTATAAAAGGTTATTTCGATCCCAAAAGAGTAGGAAAGGGGGCATTAGAGGATAAAGTAGGGATCCTTCGAGGGGAGCAATTTTATGCTGGCACAGCAGTCAACACGTGTAACCCCAGCAGCTTGGGAGGCAGGCAGGAAGATCATGACCTGGGGACACTCTGTCTTAAAACAAGGGGGTCAGCAGGTGGCCTGGTGGTTACATTGCTGGGCTCCCACATGGTCAACCTCAGTTCGAGTTCCAGATCCAGCAGCTTGAAACTCATACCAGGCACCTGTGCATGTGTACCCAAGCTCCCAAGAGGAGAATGGAGAAGGGATTGCGGTTTAGCCACCCTCCTGGGGGTGGCTTTCTTTCTCACTGTCTCTCTCTGTCCACATGCCCTATAGCAAAACCCTAAAAAAAAAATTTTTTTTTTAAGAATTTAATTTGCCTGATCAAAGTCACTGTGTTGCCCCTATTTTTCTCTGTGTGCTGCTGGTTCAGCCAGCACAACGCTGCTCAGCAGACAGGCCTGCAGGGACCGGTACACAGCGAGGAATGCCCAGTCCTGCCCTGGAGGGGCCATCGCAAGCCGGCCTGCTGGCTGAGCACAATGCCGTTCAAGAGCCCGGCTGGAAGAGGGTATACCCAACGTGGTCCTACGGTTCTCAGGGAAAATCAAGAAAGCATGGCTAAAGAAAAAAAGGAAGAAGTAGTTGGAAACGTTTCTTACTAGATAGTAAAACAGAAAACTTCAAATGTCAGGCCAGTCCATGACCTGGTGGTTAAAGAAACTGGATCCCACATGGTCGACGTGCAGTTTGAGTACCAGACTGAGTGGCTCAGAAAACATGCTGGGCTCATGTTTGTGTGTGCCCAAAGTCCTAAAAGGAGGGAGAGGTCAGGAACCAGCAGTTAGCGTAATGGCTATGTCGCTGGACTCCCATGTAGTCGACCGCGGTTTGAGTCCCGGGCCCGGTGGCTTAAACTCACGCCGGGCGCGTGTGCGTGCGTGCCCAAGATCCTGAGAGGAGAATGGAGGAGAAGGGATTGCGGCGTGGCCATCCCCCCTGGGGGGGTGATCTCTCGCTTTCTGTCTCTATGTCTCTGTCTGTCTGGCGAGCGCACGCGCCCTGTAGCAAAAACCTCTCCAAAAAAAAAGGAGGGAGAGGTGGAGGAGAAGGAACTGCAGCGTGACTGTCTCCATTGTGTGGGGAGTAATCACCCCCTGCAAGCACACACAAACTCTGGCAAAATTTTAAAAATAAATAAAATTTTAAAAGATCCGAAACTGTGATAATGGTAATAAGATAAATAGAACGAAGCAGGTAGAATGTCCGGATTATGCTATGGGTTGTTTTTTTTAAAAAAAGATTCACTAATAACCTCCAAGTCTCATTGGCTTCAATGCCACAGAAACTTATTTCCTTTTTTGAGAGAGAGATTTTTGCTATAAGGCACATGCACTTGCTGGAGAGACCGAGAGAGACAGAGAAACAGAAAGTGAGAAATCCCCCTCCAGAGGGGAG